AGGTGGTGCCAGTGGCCACATTTCTTCTTGCAAACTCGTTGTTGACCATGGTATACTGTTCTTGTACTAACTTCACTAGCTGCCGGTTTGATTCGAGATCCAATTGGGCCTTTCTTCATAAAACCTCATGGCTTAAGATCAGGATGTCTGAAAACTGCATTCTTCCCTATGACCATTGTTTGAATGGTTGGAAGCCCCTCCAAACGCACGTTCAGGACAGGGCCTTTCTGCAGGGGAACCTCCTGCTTGTTCAGTTTGACCCGTGGACCACTAAAACACCTTCATCCCACTTGGCTTTTGACTAGCTTTAAATATATTCCCCACCCTCTCACTTTTCAAACATTTTTCTTCTGTTTGTAACTTTTCTGTCTTGCAAATATGGATAAGGAGGCAACGCTGGTTTGGGGGAAGCATTCTCATTTTACAGTCTTTTCTTTCCCCCAAAACAATTGCTTCTCGCTCACGTCAGTGGAGGGGGAAGAGAATTAACTGTTAGGGCCAGGGCTGAGACAATTTTGAAGCTACTTGTCAAGGAAACAAGAGGGTTTTAGATCCTGCAGACTCAAGACCCCCACCCATCTGGTCTGACATGGCCCTGCTCCCCTGTCCCCATGGCACCAGTATCTGCCATTACAGTAAGCGATCTTCAGTGGCGAATTTATGTAGGCTGCCCTTAACAGACCTAACTTTTGTAAAGAAATCCCATTGCTAAATCCCAGTTATAGATTATCTGTACTTGCCAAATCTGATAGAGTAGATTTTGGGAGAATAAACGGCGTTGAAAATTTTGCGGGTAAGAATGCTTAATTCATAGCATAAGGAATGTGAATAACTGTTTAGATCAAATATGCAATCCTTGGATGATTAAATCAAAGTTATTTCTAAATAAAAATGTTGACTTTTATAGCTTAGTTTATGTAAGGTTTCAGGCAGCCTTGAAAAATCACCTTTGCCATTACATAAATGTTTATTTCTACAAATAGACCCCATTTCCCAAATTCTTCTTGTTCCTTTTCCCCCCTCAAAAATAATGCTGTAATTTATCACTGCAGTCATTTTTCAAAACGTGAATTGCATGACCCCATTTAAAAGTGGTAAAATGTATACAAATCTAGACCGTTATCTCCAGAGTGCGCTGTAGCATTTGTTCTATTTCATGAGAAACCACTTTGGATTATGCAAAAGAAAATCTTCCAGACTAACCGATTTTTAAGAAGAGAATAGACCTGTCAAATTCTATCAGGTCAATTTACTTTCTTGCTGTCACCACAGTGCAGGACTGGAACCCGAGGTCCTGAGTTCTCCGCGGGTGGGCAGGGGGGGCACGAAGGAATGGCCCCCAATTAGCGAAAGGGAGGGGTAATTGTGCTGAGAATATGCTTCTGTTTCACTTGGAGCATTTCTATGGGGCTGTTAGACACGAAGGAAACGTGATTCCGAAGTTAGTGTTAAAAAACAGAAGAGGAAAAGCAATACAGAGCGAGGGGAAAGAGGAGCAGATCAATTTCTGATCGTCATAGACGAAGAGCTGCTCGGTTTGTCAGAGCCAGAACGCTGCAAAAATTGCAACTCTGCATTTGTGCTGAAACTTTCTACAGATAGATGTCACAATCCTACTGAGTCAAAATGCGTTTGAGGTGGAAGCAAACACTTCTTCTCTCACGTATGACCAGAGGCAGAGTTGGGCCAGGGTCTTATAATAAGTCCCACTGATTTTAGCCACACGCACATTCTTCCTCATAAGGGCAGGCCTGTGTGCATTTTTTGTCCTGCACATTATCAAATGGGCACATGCCAGCTGAGGATCTATGCTTGTACATTTGTATGTGTGCAAGTCTGATTTTGGCCGTATTTGCCCTTCTGTTTGGCTTCCAAAGTGCCCTATGGAGCCCACAGGAGATTCCTGAAGGATCTGAGACTCCATTTAAGTCTGAGATCTTTCTTGACCAAAATCTGACAAATCAGAAATGTGGGAAGACTAGGGATTAGAGAGCCTAAGGGTATGTTCCAAGGAGTCCTAGCAAATAGAACCGACTTGAGTTAATCTCCTTAAAGGGTGGGCTGTAAGATGAGAAAATGGAGGGATCCTCAAAAGGAAGTGCCACCAGAACCGAGTCTGTAATTCAGTAAAGTATTGTAATCTCCCAGTGGCCTTGGAGGCCACGCTGGCCTGTTTTGAGAGAACTGCATGTCCCTCTTTAGCATTCAAATGCGAAAGCAGCAGCTACGGAGTGCAGTTCAGTTCAGCGTGAAGAGCACTCTGGATGGCTCGGGTGGGGCTTGGTCCTTGGACCGTTTTTCTGCCCAGACAAAAATGCAGCACCATTACCTGCCCACGAAGAAGGCTTAGTTGCAAGACTGCAGTTAGCGCTGAATAAATGACTGGGCACAATCATTCTTAATCTACCGTTTATCAGGATAATCGGGCAAAGGCAGTCCATGTTTAATCTGGGGTGTGGGGGAGTATAAGTGGAGGATATATTCTCTTAATTTTTTTTAAAATGCATTTTAGATTTAAAACCGCATTCCTTAAAACGGGATGCTCTCATCCTTCAAAGGTCAGCTAACGTAACCGCACTTCCTGAACAAGTTCAGAAACAGACTTCCCGCTACTTTGGGTCCTCGGTCTCCGGAGCGTATTGGCCGGCCTCAACCGACCACGTCCCTGCCTGCTCCGAACCCCCTGGGAGGGCTCCCTTATCAGGACAGAAGGAGAAGGGAGGGATCTGCTGTGGACAGGCAGGCAAACGGTCACAAATCTCTTGGGATAAATAATCAGAGCAAGAAATCTTTGGGGGAAAGAAATCCCATCCGTTACAACTCCATGATTCTACTGGGAAATCTTATAGAGACTGCTAATCAGACACAAAACTGATTTGAGTGAGTGTTTGGAGAGATGGCTATTGCTGTTCCAGGAAATAATCTGTGGAAGTACCGATTAACAAATCTAGTCAACATGCCCTCTGATGAACAGTACTACCCAAAACAGGATTATTTTCTCAAGCTGAAAGGACACAACCAAGAGCCCAAGCTACTCCAAAGCCCAACCCTTTCCTATACACAGCTCTAAAGAATTAAAAAAAAACACGATTAAGGGTCACTTTAAAGGAGAAAGTTAGACATGTTTTAAAGACGGAGTATTTGTTGTTCAGAGCTCTATTTTCACGCATCCAGTTAACTCTGCCTAGGTCTGCAAGGGGGCCTCTTTGCGGAGGATGCGGCCGCGTGCAGAACACTGACCTGCGGCCATTCATCAGATACCAGGACATTTGATATGGGAGAGGATGTGACTCTCTCTCTCTCTCTCTCTCTCTCTCTCTTCACATGCCAGGTCTTGTGAAAACTGACCACCTCTTGAGGCTGCCCAGGCAAAATAGCCAGGGACTGAAGTGCCGGGCACAAACCAGCTTCCATGGAGCATTTCCACCCAGGAAGGTGCTGACGGGCACAGAGTGGCTGGGGCCTGTGGCACACTCGGTCCCCGACAGGAGGCAACTGCTGTGGGCTTCGACCCCTCCCGCCCACCTGACCCCGCTCATTTGTTGTGGGGTCTGGGCTGCCTGCAAGGGCTGCGCAGCCCAAGAGCAGCAGATGGCACGGGCTGTGTCGCCCGTCATTCAGCCAGATTAATGGGGAACTGGTAAAAAGGGGAAGGGAGGAGGGGTGGGGAGGAGAAAACAATTAAGCAAGAATCCCCAAAAACAAAGGGCAGCCACGTGCCGGCGGCCAACAGTCCCTTCCCAACACAATGGCTTATCAGCTTACAATGCGCAGGGCCACCAACTGTTGCAAATGACATGGGTCGTTCCCCGTTTTCGAACCATCTGAGGCTCGTGTTTACTTACAGTTTGGCCAATGGTTGGGCAGGGAGAGCGGTCACCTGATGTTCTTTTTCAGGCATGGAAGGAACTCGACTGGCTCTGCAAAATAACTGAAGAAGTGTAACCATGGCAATGTTGATTATTGCAACATAAATACATGACACGCAAAAGAAAACAGGCCTTGGAGAAGGGTGGCAGGAGGACAGGCGTCTCCAGCCAGGGTACCGGTCGCGCACTGCTAGCAGCGATTGATCCTGCAGTCCCTAGCCCTTCGAGAAGGGGAGGGAAACTGTACAGAAGGTTTGGACTGGAAGGTTTTGCTTTTCAGCTGGAAAGTTGAAGAGAAAGCACAAGGAGTGGCGCTGCAGCGTGATGTTGCTAGCAACATTCTAGATAAGTTATTTCAAAGCCCTGGAAAACGCCAAGAGGGCATTGCAACGCCCCAGATTTGTTTTAAAACCATCTCTATATTTTAAATTACTTATTTCTGACATTGCTGTGTTGCGCTGCTCCAGCTGAGTGGCAGGAGAACCTTGAGTTAATGCTGCCCCTTTGGAACAGAACAAGTTTTAGAAACGGACCCCGAAAGATTTATTTTCAAATCATGTTTGGTGGACGGTGCTCTGATTTTAGGCCTTTAAGTATCTTTCTCTGCAGGATATGAAACTTTTCTCCTCCCTTAATATCTTCGCTCTCTTTAATACACATGGGAGCCCAATACAATGGCACATGCTCGCCATTAGGATAAAAGCTTAGCAAGAAAGGACACAGTTGACACACGGCTTCTGCCTACCTGTAGGCCAGCAGGTCAGGGCAACCCAGCCCCTAAAAATACGTTACTTCCTCCGCAGACTTTTGGGGTCTGACCCCTCACGTCTGAGTGAAGACGACTTCCCTGGCGACTTGCAGTCCCTCTCATGGCTGACATCCGTTGATGTCCCTCGGCTGCAACAGATGACCAGCGAAAGAATGGATTTTGGCATCAGTTCCCAGAATGTTGTCCTGCAACAGACAGGTAGAAAACTCAATGGGCTAAGCAATGTTGGCACCTCTCCCCTTCCATCCTTGGCCTCTGTTTAACTGACAGCCTGTTCCACCACAGCATTGCGATACCGAGTGGCTATTTAAAAAACACAAAAAGCCAAACGAATAGAGGCGTAAGACCAGCATTTACTTTGGTTTAATAAGTCCAGCTGACGTGACGAATGGCTATACGAGCCCGTAGATTCTGCAGAAAGCTGGAAGGGAATCAGCAGCAGCCTAGAATCGTATCATTTACTGCTCTTTGATGACAGGTTGCATGCAGACCCCGGGGGCTCTGGGACCGACGACTCACATACAAGCCAGCGTGTCTCCAAACATTCTAGGACTTAACAGCATCTCGCCCCATGGAGCCAACGTAAGGACGGGCTTCCTTCCTCATTAATTGCCCAAGGGTGGCTCGGGGCCCCGTGCAACTGATGCTCCCGTTTCTCTCCCTTCTGCACCAGGTAAGTCAGTATGTTGTTGGGGGGCAGCCGTCCCCGAGCCTTCAACCGCAGCCAGCCCCCCTCTTCCCTCCTCCATCCTGCCACACGCAGCAGATCTTCACCATCACGCAACAGGTACTGTTTTCTGCTTTGGGGGCTGTTTGTCGAGGTAACGGCACAGCTTTTAGGAATCTCGCAACAGCTCGGTCGCCATCCTCAGTTCGCGCTTAGAACATCGATCAGCTTTGAGCTTAGGTCTGCATCTGAGCTTGTGCCAGAACATTTGAGGAAACCTATTCAGTGCGGTAAAAAGCATTTAATTTGTGTGTAAGCGACTCAGATTCCAAGGTGAGCGTAGCCCCAAGCTGAAAGATTGGGTGGGAAGAGCGTGTGCACACCTTAAGGGCTCTCTCGCGGCAGGTGTCCCCTCTGCACTGCAGTTGACGTTACAAATCTGTGTACCAGCAAGGTCAACGTTTAACCAATGTGTTGGTTGCTTCTCATACCAAGGAGGCTACCAGCCTTTCAACTAGGTCAGTGTTGTCCAAACTTGGCCACTTTAAGACGAGTGGACTTCAACTCCCAGAATT